CCGCCGACTACCGGGGTCGTGATTGAGTTGGCTTCGTTCGTTTTTTGCGTTGCTTATTTAGTCTGTGTATTATTTTGTATAGAACGCAGTGCGACACAACCTGTCTCTCCACAAATGTTTCATGCGAGTCGAAAACGTGAAAGGGGCCGTATGGACGGTGGACGAAGTGGAGTTTTACAAGAGACGCCCACAGCGCGCTTGCAGCACGACCGGGTACGTTGCCCCTCCCCAGTCCACCGATCAAAAAAATAACTACAATCGCGCTTTTTACTCTCTTTATTCTCTTCGTCTTTCTCTCTCTCTCTCACTATCTTTCTCTCTCTCTCTTTCTCTTTCTCTTACACCAATATCTCTCACCACTTCCAGAAGACCAACGGACTGAAGCCTTAGAACCTTTACCCCTTTCTTCCCCGAACATATCGGAAGTCGCTCTGTCTGGATCACAAATTTCCCCACGATTTCACCGCTGAGCCACAATTTTCCCTTTACATATCTATATTTCTCTTTTTCTGTCTCTCTTTTTACATATATTTATATATTATATATATACTCACTTATATACTCGCTTTTACTCTTATTACCATATTCATAGTCGTACCGTTGACCTTCCCCCCCAAGCCCCATATACGTATACTGCCAATTTTCTGCAATTTTATATCAATATATGACTTTTTACATACTTTTTACATTTTTATATCGATATTTATATATATATTTATATACACATGTTTATATATACATTAAGAGTATTTATATAATATTCTACCTTATACGTATATACATAGCTCTTTTTACATATTTGTGTATTTTTAATATATATATATATCTGTTTTACATTTATATTATATATATACTTATATATATGCGACCATAAAGGCAAACGCACGCATCAGTGCGTTATGGCCTTTGTATGTATGTATACGCACATACACGCACGCTCTCCTGTGCATTTTCTCTCTCTCTTTTTTTTAATCATACGGTGTACTCTTAATCGCCTTCACGATATCTACGTCGTGCTCCCTGTTTTACATCTCTCTTCATAGTACTGTACCTGTTTGTACTTGATACGTGCGCATTCATACGTATAGATCTGTGTGTGTATAAACCTTTTTATACACCTAAACGCCATAACAACTTTTACTGTACGTCGCTTGTGTACGTCTGTCTGTACGTTTGTCTGCTAACTTGCAGTTTCTCGAGAGATGTGCTATCGCTGTAATTGACAATTGATCTTTTAGTCGAGAGTCACATGTCAATCTGCATTTAGATTCTTTTGTCGTAAGGCGTATTTCCAAATTCTAAAGTCCATGTTAATGTCGATCAATGAGAAACTACCGTCTCGAGAAACTACCGTCAACATTGTGTTTGAACCCGCGTGTGTGTGAACATCTTACTTGCCCGTCGTCGTGTGATGGTAGTCGGCAGTCTGGTGGGTGCGTGGATGTGCGTGAGAGTGCGTCGCCGATGAAAGAGCCGCAACAGATGAATGGAAGAGAAAAAAAAGATAGAAAGAGAGTTTAGAAATGCTAATCCCGCTCGGAGATGGGAATCTGTAGTACGTCGTGTGTGCTTTCATAACGAGCATGTCAGCTTTGCAGCGACTAACCCGATCGAGAATGGCGAGGCCAAGTATCTGGCTCAAGTCTAGTCTCGAAAACCCAGAAGCCGGAAGCGGAATTGCCCGGAACAGAGTGAGAACCGCAATGTTGCACTTTGTCAGGTAGAGGTTTGAGAGGAGCCGCCTTTACTACGTTATTACTACGTCTCTGTCTTATTTTCTTTGATTTTATTCGCCCCCTCTTTGCGAGTCTGTGCTGCTGTTTGTTCTCTCTAAAAGTCGACGTTTCGATCGTGCCGAGATCATTCGAATTGTCCCGGCTACGAGATAGAGAGAGCGGTGGAGCCGTCGACAAGACGTGCCAGCGATATTTGGTGCGTCTGGGTCATGTAAAAGCGACGGCGAGTGCGCGCGCGCGCGCACGCGCTTACGTAATCAGGCCCCTGCTGTTACGCGAGTGGGCCGAGCGCAAAGAAACAAAGAAAGAAAACGAAAGAACGAAAGAAAAGCGAAACTGCGCGAACAACTACAAAACAAGAAACCTTGTCTTTTTTACTCTCTTTTTCTCTATTTCTTGGTGGTCTTGTCTGTGTATACAGAACGCGATCCGCACCAATCTATCATTGCACAAGTGTTTTGTGCGCTATGAGGACGACTTCGGGTCATTCTGGATGGTGGACGACGCCGAGTTCGTAAAGCGGCGGCATCTGTCCCGCGGCCGCCCCAGGAAATATGACCCAACCCCATCACCCACTCCACCCCACCTCTCCGCACAGTAAGCACTATCACTTTTTAGAATTCTGCTGGCTGGCTGGCGCGACGTTCTGACCTTACCGCGGTACTTTTTTATAAACGCGACGACCGGGACGTTTTCGCTTGGTCGTTGTCTACAAATTGAACCACTAAATGAGCTATCCGACCTGCTGTCTCTGGAAGTTTGCGCGTGCTCGCGCAATTAATTGCGCAATTGCAGCTGTTATTATAATCTTATGTACGACACGTCCTCCGGAGTGTCACGTCAAAGTCCACGAAAAGGCGAATCTATTTATTATTTTTACTATTTCATCATTACTATATTGTGTAAACGATATAACTTTCATTTTAGATGAAATTATTGGCTAAATGAAGAGATTCTAGCGATATCAGAATAAAACGTAGACTAACGTAAATATAACAACTAATGTGTTCGGAAATTTCAAATTCCATAAAATGTTTTATTGTCTTGTGTGTATAATATTTTATTTATTTTATACTAGGTGATTTGATAAAAATATATAAAATTATGTTTAGATTTAACACTAAAAATATGCATATACTTACATCATATCACTGTATAGTGTCATATCTTAAATATATTTATTTCAACGTTGTTATATATGATAGTAACAGCTGCAACATACACGCGATAAATATATATTATTATTATCTAAATTATTATTATCATATATTACATTTCATATAATCAATTGTGAAACATTAATGAAATACCTTTGTAGCAAAATTTCTTCCGTTTTTAAATTATATTATAATTCAACTTAAAGTATATATTATGTGCCAGATTATATACCAGAGCAACAGGAAATAGCTCTATGCAGTTTACCCAATACCCCTGGAAATGATTTCCGCATCATGCCTGCCTCGAGCGCCTTTGAAGTCCAATTCCTTAAAAAACTGGACAGTAGCACCACTCCACTACTTTGCTCGTTTTTGTCAGAAGTGTGTAATGTTATTTGACTTTTAGATTACATGTTATATGATGCGAAACATATGCACATAGTAAAGTCATTTAATTATTTTATGAAAGAGCAAATAGAAGAGAAGTAAATAAAAGAGACAATTTTCAACAGTCTTCATTCAGTTTCTTCTTCATATGTATGATTATCGTTGTATTTTCAAGGAATTTGTATTCAATGGATTTATTCAAATATAATTCAAATATAATTACTAGGAAGATTGAGATTTCTTACAAGGATAGTGTTGAAGTAAAAAGGAAATTTACGCTATGGTTTATTCTTACTTGAATTCACTTTTCTTCGTTCACTAAGTCGGGATAAACGAGTTAATTAGAACCTATTATCATTAGTTTCACATAGGAATATCTCATATTTCGCCAAAGAATCTTGCACACTTTTGCAAAGGACGTATAAGGCAGAGTTAATAGGATATCCTCCTCCCCCCTGCCCCCGTATACGTCATTAGTACTGTAGCCCGAGGCTCTTGCACCCCGTGATAGCTTGAAAATTCTGCACGATCCTGCAACAATCCAACAACAAGACAATTGGTCAGAGCTGCAGGATCCTCAATGTGTTTAGTGACTGCTCGCATGAACCTTGTAGTCCTTAACATTCGCTCCTCAATTAAGACCCATAAACTGTCCCACCACTGAAAACACTGCTTATAAATGTATGGTGCTTAATGTAATGCTGTTCGTAGTGTCTCGTATGAAAGTGGGTGCGGGTGTTTGTGCGGGCAAGCGTTCTCTTGTGTTGAAGTTTCGCTTCCGTTTCAGTCTTCATTCTGTTCCTCCGTAATAGCAGATATTATTTTGTTGTTCTTTTGAGCATTAAATCGTTGATAAAGATTTATTCTATTTTGTGTTCGCTATTCTATTAATTTTTTTTCGTTGGATCTCCCTATAGAGTGACGCAATAGTGATCCTAGAGAACCTTTCCAGGGAAGTTCCGTTTCCTCAATTTTTATAGGATACGGTTTTTTCTTTTTGCAACCACTGCGATTCTCTATTAATATGCTGTGCCAAAGTTACGCAACATCCATTAGATACCTCTATTGGAAAATTAGATTCATAAACTTTACATTCTACAACTTTATAATTTAACTTTGTAATTTAATTACTACATCCATTAACAATCTTTCGGTAATCTTCATTAATTCTTTGAGGTCTAAGACTTTCTGTCACAAACTGTCCATTTACTGACTTCAACAAATACTTTCTCAGAACGATGTTCCTCTAAGGTTCACAAAACATTTTAAGATGGGTGAACATCGAATGTCTTGAATAAATAAAGTTGAGAATCGCAAAAGTATCCTATATCACTGCTTCCGCGCGTAATGAGCGAATGGTTCTTGGTTTGAGTGAATATGTACGTCAGGGCTATTCGCGCATGTGTATATGGTGTATACTGTGTGCTACAACTGTAACTCCTCGGATGGAATTCTTCGATCATCGTCGCGATTCATCTTGTATCAGGTACTACATATGAACTCAATAATCTCAATAATGTTTAATAGTAATAATTTTGAAATTTCTACTACTACTCAATTTTAATACCTTTTAAAATGTTATCTACTTTTACTCAACTCTCTCTCTCTCTCTCTCTCTCTCTCTCTCTCTTTGACTTCTTCCTCCTCTTCTCTTTCTCTCTCTTTCACTCTATCTCTCTTTCTTTCCTATCTCTTTCTTCACATTATCTCTTCTATTTTACTCTTTATGCAGCACTCCTTGTTGCTTGATAATCGGTCACAGAAAAATTTTCTTCTTATCTTTTTCTTTGCATGCACTTTTAAATATCTTACAACAAGATGTCCGGCAATATATACTAATAAGACTGAATATATTTATCACTATTTGATAGTAATAATTCCTAAAAAGAACTTTATAAAAAATATACTTTTCGCAAATCGCTATAAAAAAGGACATCTGGTCGGTCCCTATTTAAATGCTACTCAAGTACTTATTTATGTAAATCACAAGGTAATACGTGAAAGGTAAGCCCAGGTAACCTGATGGCCGTTTATAAGCAACATATTTGTTTCGAAACTAATATAGTGTTATGTAAAAGTAAAAAGAAAACAGAATCAGATTGATATACGATTTTGTTTACAAAGTTTCGAAACGGGAGCGCTTTTTAATACTTTTTTCTACAACTTTTGACTAATCTCACTCAATCACCGATGAGACGAGTGCAGTGGGCAAGCAATACGAAGCAGTGTAAGTAGGTAAGAGTTTTCGAACTCTTCTTTCACTCTTTTTAATCTTTTTTCGATATATTTAAATGTATACATTTTTCATATTTTTATAATTCTCTTTGTCTCTCTCTTCTCTCCACTGTACACCTCTTTCTCGTTCTCTCTTTCTCTGTCTATTCTCTATCTCTCTTTCTCTATCTCTCTCTTTCTCTTTCCCCTTTTTATCTTTATACGTCTACATATTTACAACTCGAGTACACGCACAGACACATAAACACCATGTATATCCTATTTCTACTCCCCTTCTTTCTCAGATTCGTCCCAACATCAACACAATTAAAGGAGACTCATACATGCGTTTTGTTTCAGGAAATACATACTTGTGGCCGAATTTCGAATATTACTAACGTGCTTTTCTCTGTCAATATCTAGGGGTGTCCCGTCGAAGAGTCCAACGCTAACGCACAGTCCCACTATGTATGGTGACGCGTTGAATGCCAATCTGCAGGTAACTATTAATCACTGATCTCTCAAAAGTTCACAAAGTATCACGATTCTCTTCCGCCTGTTATCAATTTTCTTTGATTGTTATTGGGGCAAATAATTATATCAAATAGAGATAAAGTTATATAGGGGAGAAAGTGGTAATATAGAACAGGATAGTAGTATGAAACAAGACTGATTTCTTAAACAATTGCTGCCAATAATCTGTTAACTGAAATAAACATAACCATTGGGGCTTTCACTAATCATCAAAAAATCTGACGGTAATACCACGTTTGTAATAACGTGGTACGTTGTTTATAATGTTAAAAGAAGCTTCTCTGTTTTTTTGCTGTCAAAACTTTCCGCAAGATAAAACCCAAAAATATTTTTCTTGCCTTAATCGATAAATTTAACATATTAACTAAAGTGTGTCGATTAGTAATAAGATTAGTAATAAGATTAAACTTCCAAATTGCAGAATTATTTTTTGGAAATATTTTTTCCACTTTGAGATTTGTTGAATCGTTTAAAAAATAGCAGTGGATAATAATATGGAACAAGGTATTTCACGTCTTATATTGCCACGTTTTATATAATAGGTGTGAAAACGATGTTTATATTTACGACTTTTGTGTTCATAGATCTAAAGGACTTTTACATAACTTGAATTATTGAGCTTAATTTTCAAAGGAAGTTTTTTTATATTTTCATTTATTTTCGTTATTTATAATTTCCTAACAATAATGAATACATTATAAGAAATATATTTGCTAACACTTCTGACAGTTATTGATGTAAATATTATTGCATTTAATTTTTCCTTTAAAATAAAAAAATACTTCATATTTCCACCTTCTTCTCTATAGTTGTTTGAGTAACTCGTAACACTAATAATAATTTTGGACAATGTTTTTCATCTTCTATTCCTGACATGTGAAAGCTAAGTTATTAATATTTCGTTACTCCATGATTTAGTCAATGATAACTAACCATCTAATGCAATTTGAGTATTTCCAGGCACTCGGGGAGTCTAACATGGGATTTTTGAACAATCCGATGTGCACGTCGACAGCGACGAGTCCCGATAAGGAGCATGTATTACCTCATAATGACTTAATGTAAGTGCCATTTGCACAAGCACGATAAAATCCGCATAATGACTTTATTGCGTTGGACATGTTTCCATGATCTTATGTGTAAACTTTCGTAACTTTATTTTACTTTACAACTATATTACCGATACTTAAAACAGTTCCTTTATTTTACTCTTGAGTTTTGATAACGTTAAAGTACAACGTTTTTCGAACTTGTCCTTATCTAAATAAATCGCAAAATGTCACTTTGCAAAAATAAGACTGCGTCATATGAAAAGTCCTATTCGTTATTTCGCATCATGGAATTGATTTTTCTCGCGCGCGTACACATACACGATTTATACGACGACCCATTCTGGGCTTCATTTCGCGCGATACGAAAACCGTATAAAAAAAACTGTCATTCTTTCGCGAAACACAAACTATCTGTCGCAGCTTGACAAACCGCTTGAAATCGCCGCGAAATAATCCCGGGAGAGCGAAATCGTTATTCTGCCGTCGGGGCGCGTCGGGACGTGTCGCTAAAAAAAATACCGCCGCCGCGTTCTATGAAACATATCCCGACCATGGTGGCACGCGCGTGTTTCGCAGCAAGTTTTCCACTCAGCGTACACAACACGTATCGCGCGTGTCGTCTCGATTCAACAGGTCGCCGCTGGATGAACCGGCCGTGCACATAAAGCAGGAGAGCCAGAGTCCGGAAGGAGGGAAGCACGCGAGATTAATAAAGCGCGAGATGCCGGACGGTCCCATGGAGCAGGAGACGGAGGAGGATCAAGCGGACGAGAGGGAATACTCAGAGAGCCACGGCCATGACTCCGGTCAGGACGAGGACATTGCGGAGGACCTGTCGATGGCGCCCGATATAATGATCCCGGAGGATCAGGTCGAGGCGTAGTACCACTCTGCGGCGACCAGTCAGTAAAAGCGAAGATGTATACAAGGTGAACCGTTTGCTCGGTCACGCGAAGAGAGGAGTCCTCTACTACGTAGGCCAGGTAGAGCAAAATACGAGGAAGCTGAGAGGAAGAAGCGGGAGTCGAGCAGCGAAAGCTAGACAGTCGAAGAGGACGACGAAGGCCCTCAGGACCACCCACCCCCTCCACTCCTCCTTCGTACGAAACCCCCCTCAACACATCATATCTGTGCCGCGACGCGCCAATGGCGGCTTTAAGGTAACGAACAGAAGCAACCGAATAAGTGAAAGAAATGAAAAGAAAAGAGGACACTGCGTCGGTGAGCGATAAGCGAATCACCGGACAAGCGTCGACGTCCGCGACGCCGGTAGCGTCGGCGTCCCGGCAATATTCGGGAACGATCCTTCGATCCATATCCTTACTCAAGCAATTGCGAACAACGATGTATTTTATTTTCCTCTCGATCTTTCCGTTCCGGAGCCGCGGCTATATCTATAGACATATACATAAATATATACATATACATATATCTCTCTCTCTTGTGTACATTACATTAGAAATTAATGTGACGACGGTGGGGCATCGCACGCGGCGCGCTATGCGGTCAGCGCGCCCTTTCGGGCGCCCCCGAAAACGGGAAAAGAAGCCTTCACTGGAGGAACCGATGCGGCTTCGTGATCATATATATTCCACGGTGACATATGTGCTTATACGGATAAAAGATCTGCCAATAGGGCGTTCGAAGCTTTTAAACCTTTCTCATGTTACGTTACGTCTAACAGCATACAACTCTGCTACGATTGCAAACGTTACGACAAGGTAAAAATACCGATCGCCGGATATGTCTCCGTATTCGGACGGGAATTTATTAATTTCATATTTTTCAATTACCATTTTGATATTAACTCTTTCAGCTGGTCATTTTGTATTAGTTCACATAAAATAGTACAATATAAACAAAATTATATTAGCCCGTAAGATGAAAGTATCAATTTCTGGATATGTATCTATATATAATCCTGGACGTTCTTATTGTTTTGATCTTTAAATACGAAAACTTTCAATATAGAATATACCTATATATTCAATGTATATTTATATATTATAAGTACGAAAACTTTCAATATAGAATATACCTATATATTCAATGTATATTTATATATTATAAGTACGAAAACTTTCAATATAGAATATACCTATATATTCAATGTATATTTATATATTATAATGTTGAAATATTTGCATTTGAAGACCAAAATAATAAGAATGTTCAGAATTATATGTCCCGGAATAGATACTTTTATCGTCTTATGATCTCATGTTTAACAGATTCGATTTAACAGCCGTCCAACCGAGTCAATTAAAACATCATAGAAAAGTTCTTTTTTCTTGTTTATTTTAAGCGTGTCTTTATAGCTTATTTTCATGAAAACTAAGCAATCTTGACTCGTTAGATGTTCGAGTATTGGGACGTTTACCTTATTCGCGAAGCAACTTCAAGACACATTACGTTATAATAAGACTAATATCCAGTCTCAATAACAGTTTTCGTTTTGCACACAAATGAGACTTTTATTTTTATTGCAAATGAACAGTCAAAGTTCATTGAAGAATTGACGCGAATTCCAAAAACATGGCATGACTCGATGAGCACAGATTTGGTTGATAAAGAATGCAAATTGCCAGAGAGCATCGCGCGGTTCCACTGGAGAGGCGAGTCGAACGAACAGTCCGGCGGGATTGAATCTAGGAAATAAATCGATGAAGCCGTGGTGGTGGTGATGGTGGGTACGTACGGGAGCGACTGAGTTTAGTCTTAAGGTTCGCTCGGCGAACGAAGAGCAATGTGTTATTCTCGCGATTAAGCGGGCCCTGCCCTCCGAAAAGGGGCCCAGTATCAGACAGTTAAACTAAGAATCGCATCCGTGATGAGACCGGATGCGTCCCGGCGTACCCGTCCGCTACTGTTCGTAGCATTGTATAGTCTAGCGAAGTTATGGTCGTAAGTAGTTTCGTATTCATTAAACGATTATTAAACGGTCGGAACTGAGGCGGTCGAAAATTTGTAAATGAGCGCTACGGCACAATGCGTACGCGACGATCTTTCAAATTTCTTTCCAGTCGAGCGTCAGGAATCCGCGGTACAGGACGATACGATAGGAGAACGTAGCTGCGAGACCATTGAAGATACTCGAGCGAATGTTACGAGCGGAGATAAGTAGGAAGATCGCTAACGCAATATTTTATACGTGTACGAGTACGAACATATATACACAAAAAAGCAAACAAACAAATTCACACAACGCGTGCAGCAAATAAAAATGTTATCACAATTCTTCTTTTTTCTTTTGTTTGCTTTTTTTTATACAATGTTAGACACCCCCGAGGTATAGGATAGACTCAGTACCGTGACGAAATGGTGCTTTTCAATTTCCAATACATTGAAAGCTAGTATTTCAACGTTTTGGATAATTAACATAAAATTTCGAGTTGTTAGGTATTACGCGTTCAAGAAGATTATATTATAGTTAATAGCACTTCCTTCTGTGATACGTGACGAAGTATAGTAAGACCACTATATTTAATTATATATACATATATATATATAATTAAGGGACATAATATGTTACGAATCGTTCTTGGTTGCTAAGTCTATTGTATATCAATGTTTCCAACGATAGATCACAGGCAACCGACATAACACGCTGAATCGAATTATGTATTGGATAAATATCGGGTAGTAAGATATCACGTTAGTGATCTCCCTGCTCTTCTCTGGAACACACGAAGTCTATAAATAAATTAAACTACTATGTATGCATATACACATATATTAATACGTATACGTATTGAAATTATAAGGAATTAGATGTCGAACGCCTTCTCCGACAAACTTTCTTCCCATCCCCGTCCAGTCCTAGTCCTACTATATGCACACCAAGCGAAGCCAGTAAGTTTCTTCTAAAAATGCGTAGTCTCGGAAACCCCTGCAATGGAAAGCGTGCTCATATCGGTACGACGGATATCTTAAATTGTTCTGCCGATGACACGGACAATTTCTCGAGCGTCAGTATCTTTTGGTCTTAATACGTGTTCAATGATGAACGTTCATCGGGCTTGGAAATCTTGAAAGTTGATTTAGTTGCGCCATGACCTTCCCGCTCAGTGATCAGTGAAGATGCAATATTGTCGTAATACAAACACTACAGGTTTTATACTTTGAAATTTTTAATAGTTAAGAAACAAATAAACTAGGTCTGCAAATATAATTCCAGCACATCTTTCGCATATACGGTCTACGGTGTTTCTCTCGCCAAAGGCGAGTCATGATCTTTCTTGACCACACGCAGATTCTTTTCGTATTCTTGAAATATCAAGAAAATATGTCGTTTGTGTGCACAATTGTTGTTTTTATCATGAAACACCATTATTCGCGAATAGTGTCGATCGAGTAAAGCATCGTCAAATCGAATAGTACTTTTGCTTCGAACTTAAACGACTTAAAGCCAATTACAGTGCAACTTTAATTAACAAAACGGCATACATATCTGCGTTGAAGCTTGACAAAATCGTGCAGCCGTCGCTAGATAATTTAAACCACGAAACAGATATTCGCATGCACTTGTCCTGACAGTAAGAAGCCCGTGGGATTAAGAAATAATTAAATCACACAGATAAGGACGACAGTTAGACAGGAAAACGTAATGAGCGAAAGAGAGAGAGAGAGAGAGACAGAAAGAGAGAAAGTGTACGATTGTGTGTGTGTACGTGATACGTGTATGCATGTGCGTGCGAGAGTGCCGTAATTGTTCACTGATGAAATTTGCGAGGTTCAGTGCCGTTTGGGCTCGCTTTCGCGTATGGTACTATTAATAATCTAAGTCTATATGTATTATGTATAATGGATTAAGGACTTGACATAACATAGAAGACTCTCCTGTAAATAATTAAACTCATCGAGGCATTAGGGATTTGCGCATACGTCATTCGCGAACGGACGATTCCGCCGATGTCGCGGCTTGTGTGCATGTTTATGCATGAGTGTAACTGTGTATGTGGATGCACGCGCGTACGTTACCCGTATCCCATCTGCATTTAATTTCGACGCGAAATCTGAAGGTTCACGGGAGAATAACTCCGATGGAAGGCGTTTTTTCGTTTTTGCCGGGTGAACGTTCGTCACGTAGCAGCGAAAGAAAGCCGGACCTGTCGACTGGATGATTAATTAATAATTGGTTAACACTGATCGATTAAGCGCCTCGTCGCGTGACGGATTTGAGCGGGTCTGCGCGACGTATTGACTTCTGAATCTTTTTCTTTCTTTTTTTTTTCTAGTGTATGTTGTGGTGTACTTTTTGGTGTACGACAAAGTTCTATAGTCATAGTCACTCTGTTATAAATGTTTCTCTTCTTTTCTTTTTGTTATGTTTGTTGACGAGAGCAACATTTGGATCTATGCGCGCGCGGGCGTTGCGATCGATCAATGGGCATGCGAGTCAACGATTGTTTCATTATTATCACGCTCACGCACGATACCGCAGGAATTACAGGTTTTAATTGTATTCCCTATAGAACACTGCAAAATGCTCGAACGTAATTGCCGATAACGAATCCGATAATCGATCACGGTTCCTGATGTATATTTACCTCAACGTTTTCATTATTTTGCCTTGATAAAAAGCGATGGCGGTTCTGTGCAATCATATCAGATAGATCGAAGCGTCCAATATGAACAGTGCCAAAAATCGACGCTAACGTTTATTTATTTAATAAAGGAAACAAGATAGGCGGATAGAATGATTGTACGGGTACTGAAGGAAATTTCAGCGAATTTCTGTCAGATTTTGTCTTTTTTAGTATGAAACTGCTAGAGAGAGATTCACAATAAGGTACACCGAGAAAAATAAATCTTTGACAGTTTATCATATTTTGTGAAATAAGCATATTATTACATATTGATTAATGTCTGAATAGCAATTTCGATATACCGTATAGCTGTGATCGAAATATTCAAGTACTACAAATTTCATCGCGTTCCATTCAACATTCTTACGAGAGTGTGTGCGACACATCTCGTAACGATTCTCATCAAATAATACATTCCCTTGCAAGCAAATCAAACATGTTACAAAGATGTTCAAATGAAAACGGTTTTAACGTAAAGTAATATATCTATAATCTGCCAGTCGAGCAACGTTGAAAATAATTTATATGCCTAGTTTTCTGTTATCTTTTCTTTGGTGATTTATAATAACCCGTAATGAACGCGAACAAGGGAGTTGTTATCGCAATTCGAGCTGTCATAAAGGAACAAAAAGCTGAGAGTGACCGTATAATCGATCGAATGGAAGACCGCCGGCATAAGTTGGAAATCATTCTCCTAAAACGTTTATTGTCTGAATTACTTTGTTAAGTATTTGTATGATAAGTTGCCTTGTAAAAATGTACCGATTTTACTAAGAAATTAAATGTGTTACTAAAAGAAAACCGTACACGATTTCTCTTCAACTGTTCTCATCAACCTCCGTTCAATGCGTCGAGAATGGTAACTACGGAGTGTAGAGGTAGTTGATTAAGTAATAATTGTAAGTACCGATGAATTATAATTTTCACCGTACTTTCTTTGTATAAGACTGACATCGTTTGTATAATGCTTGATAATCCTGTTAGACGTATCGAGATTTATATACGTAAATTAATGTATCTAGGGAATATATGTCTAGGTCGCAGGAAACACTTATATCATACTGTAAATAGAGAATTTACGGAATCGCATTTTCTAGTTCGAGATAAGCGTTAGTGTTAAGATCTTAGCTGATAGAATTATCTTGAAAGAATATATACTTAATAAAACTGCGACGTATAAAACACAAAAACTTTAAGCTCCTTAAGAATTCTGTTTTCAAATTCCCTGTTAACGCATTTAATAAAGGGATCCTAAACATTTCTTGTTACTTATTATTATTTTTTAATGTATCTAGTTTTTTATATTATTCGTGAGATACAAAATATCAAACTATAGAACGATCTCTTTATGTATATTTTGTTCAAATGTTAAAGTTAAATCTTTTCCAACGTGTTTTTTTATATTGAGAAAGATGTTTTCTACTTATAAAGCTTTTGTATCGTACATGTTTAATGTTAAAAATAATTATTTCAATTTCATTTGCCTTATATTTAACACGCATAATAATATCGAACAACTAACAAATAACTATGTATATTATTGTATAGGTATTCTTAAACTATGAATTCAACTAGTATTAATTCTGTCTAGTATTAATTCACTGTGAAGAATATGTGTCTTTAATATAGGTACAATTTTATTCGCGTAACAGTTCTTTTGATTAATTTCAATTTCTAGGACTGTCAAGTCGATATTTGATAAAAAAATTTGTATTACTTATGCTTTTTATCATATTTCAGACACTATACTTTTAATTTGGACACTGAAGAAGAAGAACTTTCTATGTTATATAAAACGGCTTTCTTCCATGAAAACAGCACTCTTCGCAATACTATACATTGTAAGAAAAAGAGGTAGCAATTTATACGACTCACCGTAGACCGACGTCTCTCTCTCCCTTCCTTCCCTCATTCTTCTTCGTTTCTTTTTAAAGAAGATAAAATTATACAGGATGTGCCAGAACAATCTTCGAAACTTTCGTGAATGCATAGTACAGATTAAAGTAAATATAAAACTATTTTACGATATTCACGATTTTACGATATCAATAATCATCGAAATATTAATTAAAGAAAATTTGTGAATAATCGCGCGAGATATGTGGTAAGTGAGCTGCAGTGGCGACATCTGCCGTCGTATGCATTAGATCAAATTGAACAAGAGTTCTTTACTTTTTTCCTAATAACTTTGTAAATTTTTAATTATTAAAGAAGATTAGCAGGTAGTCACTTACGCACGATAATATATTAACGTTATTTAATTAATAACAAAAAATCTAAATCAAAGTTATTAGAAAAAGGATATCACGAAACAATATAAAACTTTTATGCTCACCTCAGTGCGTACTATACTTCCATGACAGCTTTGAAAGCTGTTCTGGGACATTCTGTATATAATATAACACATGTTATATATAACAAATTACATTGTTAAATGATAAGTTATACATTGATGTAGTGTTACTGTTAGTTGGTATTTACTGAGAAGTATTACCTATCGTCAAAATAATTTCATCCACAACGGATAATGTAGAACATTTCTATTATCGATTATATAGCATAACTATAAATATATTCTTTTTAACTGAACTGCTTAGACTGGTACATACTGGTGCAATAAGTTAAAAAAATATATTTGTATAATATATATAATAAAAAATATATATGTTTCACTCTAACTTATTGCACCAGAATGCACCAGTTCAAATAGTTCAACTAAAAAGAACAGACCTTATGTATAAAAACTCTATTTTGAAATACATAACTGTATTTAAAATTATTATCAGTGCTTCGTTTAAATTATTGTTTCCTATACATTTTTTAAAACCCCTGAAAATTTAATATTACTGATTTTTAAAAAGCAATTCTTATCAGTACATAATATTACTGCTAAAATATTTTCCTTTATTTGTTACAATCGTTTACATAATTTTTATTTTATATAATATATATGTTATTAATTATGTTGATACTTGATTCGAAGATCAAATTGCATTTGAATCTTATTGTAAAAATAAATATTGAGGATCATAATCGCTTATTTAATTTCACTCAGAATCGACCAAAACTGAATTCATATACATACTATGATATATAAATCTTAAATTAAGCGATTTAGAAATCCACACTGTCGTTACTAATATTGGAAATGGATTCTTCTAATGTTATCAATCCAAAGAATAAGAAAAAGTGCTTGATTACAGATAGTTTTTCACGGTGTGCTCAATCTCAAATTCGTCGCGATTAGAGTAACAATAATTTACACTATTAATATGAGATTTACAGTAACAAAAATATTATATATCCACGTATCATGTTTCGTTGCGCGTTACAAAAGTAGTATATCCCTTAAATCCATAGACAGTCGCGTCCAGCTCACGTGGTTACCTGTAGCTGTTATTACAGACAAGAAGTTTTTCGCAATATTAGCAAACGTTACTGATATATTGTGCAAAATTAACAATACATAAATTATTTAATATTTTATTTAATATATTTATTATATAATCCATACCTGATTAAGCAAAAAGCTAAGAGCATATCTATATCGTTGGCAATTAGAAAAAAAACCTGTCAGAATGTTAAACTTAGTAAGTTTGTCACTCCTGCTCGTTATTTTTCTGATATTCCATATCTCGCAAATGATTGGATAATAATTCCCATTTCGATGCCCATGGAGGCTTGTCCAGTTCCTGGGTGTTGACCTCCTCTATCAAATTCATCAAGCGAATAAAGAATTCATTGAGTTTTCCAGCGGTGCCCCTTCGCAGTTTCTGGAAGTGTTTATCTGAAATGCAAGTTTGACTGATGTTTGAGGCAGCCATGTTATTTCTATATTGGGAGTGAACGGTTCGATAACACAACGACTAAGTGGTGTCTATGAGTCTGTGCCCTTTACTGTCGTCATAAAGAAACTATGATTATTGATGCTGAAATATAAATAGGACAAAAGTAGAGTGTGGTGTAAATCAATATTTCTGGGGATCGTAATATGACGCGCACGAAGTATAGAACCAGTGTATAAAATATAATTCTACAATTATGCAAAATAAATACCTTTAACCAAATATTATTCCTAAAAATTATCTCACAAACACTTTTTTTATTTTACAACAGTGCATGTATAAAGAGCGACATTACGCGATGTATGTCGAGTATTTGTCATATTGTATTACTGTATCAATAATCATACAAAAGAAAAATACATACTTATACTACTAATCATACGTACTTGTAGGATAAAAGGCATTTTTTATCCAGATTGTTTGCTGCGTTAACGCTGCTATGAGCCTTTTGGTGATTAAGCTCTGGCTTTCAGCTGTCACGGGCCTCAAACGGGTGACAAATCGCAAAAGATATTCTAGTAAGTATCTCGTACAAACGGACAATTTCCCAAGACACCGTTGCGGCTTTGAACTCCATACGACAATATAACTAAGGCTATCAACATCAAGAAGCGGATGTTTGAGACCCTCCAGCCACTCGAATAGCAATACCGACAAAATCTCCAAATTAGTTTCCAATTCCAAACGTTGCCAAGCAGTGGATCGGTGGTTCAAATCACTCTAAAAATACATATGTTTCCAAATTTTCTGAAATACTGTATAAACAATAAACAGATTATATTGTTCTATTATTCTACTGATACATTTAATTATTATATTATCATATGATTTATATTATATTATACTATTATATTATATTATATTATATTATTATATTATACTATTATATTATATTATGTTATATTATTAAATTATTAGGTTATATAATATAGTACAGAAATTATTACAATTACATTACAAACAGTTTAATGAGATAATCGATATATCGTCTTAGGTACGATAGGATTAGTCACGACATAATGATCTCAAAAATAATGCACGTGTTAATATCCATGTAACATCTGTTATCTTATACCATTCTAAATTGATTCATTTTTTCTTGTTATAGACCATCTTATATACTATATCCGTCTCACTATTCATGATTCTAGAGGTATTTATGAACACAAAGGTTTGAGCGATTGAACGTCCAATACGTGAGGAATTAATTAATCACAATATCAGCAATGTCTTTTTTTTATATACGTATGAAGTACCTGATAATCATGCAAACGTTTCCTAATAGCGTCTGAAAGAGAGGTATTATCTCTTATAAGCGCTTTTATAGCTTCTTCGGCAGTTACTGTTTCGTAAGCCTCATTACGGGCTACGCTCTTCAAATCCATGTGCGACTGAATTTCCTTATAACAATCGTTATCGAGTATATCCTGATCATGAATACCATCCCCTAGGACATCGTCGACGCAGTTGTCATCCAGACCTATCGTGATATAAAATCGTATTGTTGAGTATATTTGCATTTTATTGTAGCGAGATAGTGTTGAAATCGATATAGAATGAAAGACGTCGTGTACTACCACATCCGAGTTTGTCAATAGTAATACCTGGAAATGTAGAGTCGCAAGAAGGAGTATCTGGTGACATACAAAACACGTCACTCAATCTTCCTATATCATCGGAAATGTCTCGGGACGATCCTTGACTACTACTACCGCACGCTTTCGTGGAAGCTATAACATACAACTGTTTAGTAAATACGATGGAATATAGTCGAGTGAAATTTTTACGGCAAACCTCAATAAATTTGAACGCGGCTTTTAAAATCGATTAAATAATGTTCTAATTCTACGCACATTTTAATTTTATCTTTAATAATTTTAAATCAATAGAAGAAAATTTTTAAGATGCAAAAAATAAAAGATATTCCAGTAAACAAAAAGAATATTAAATCAGCATCTTGAAATATTGATTTTAAGTGTATCTCTTGGATATTTCCTCGCTTAATTGCACCCGCGCTTTCACACGGGATCAATGTTGATTAGTATCTATAATTCCGGTGTAAACGATTGCAGTCTGGATAAACGTAGTGCACATTCCCTGTGACGACAAAGAGTGACAGTTGCAGACAATTACGAGATATATCCAGTTATAAATAGTAAAATAAACAGTAAAATTAGATGGCTTAAATAATATTACGTGGTTTACATAGTTATTTATTCATCGCCCAAACGTAAGCGCAAGTGAGTGCAACATATAAATAAAATATATTTATAAATATTGGAACGCCGAAGTTATTCGTAAAGATATTTGTACAACATCAAAAACTACGTTATATATTATTGAATACCGTTGTAATAACATTTTATGAATGATTCTTTGCTAGAATATCACGTGTGTGCGTTTCGACCTTTAATAAAACGATGGAATTTAATTAAATGACGCCAGAGATAGATGAAGGTCAATTGCCAGGAACATTATCAAATTGCTTCATTACTAGATGAGCATATAACACTTCTCACTTGAGTATTCGTAGGACGAGTCCGCAAGGGATTCCGCCCACGAGTAGGAGTGCCGTATGTTACCCTTGCCGTCACGGAATTTCTCCAACACGTGACAAATGAACCTTTGCGTGAAAGATACATTGGAGATGCCGTATGTAATTTCGGATGGCGAATTGTCCTCCTGACAATCGCAGAGTTGAAGTATTCGTTCGCAAATAATAAATACAATCTGTGAAGTACAAATAATTAATTATCCGGAGCATGTTGAGCATTTCTCTCAAGCAATATATGTAATAAAAACAAAAAATTAATATCATCTTCAATGTCAAACAAGTAATCAATATTAATTAAGCAACTAATCAAAAAAAATATATATATATATATATATATATATATATATATATATTTATTTGTGAACAAAAAATTAAAACATTGAAACGAAAAATTTAAGATCAAGTCAATTGGTGAGATAAATAGTGATTGATTCATAATTGAGACTTTTTTTATCCTGAAGAATATATTTTTTATAAGAGGGCTAACCTTTAACTTTTTTTTAATTTCTTAAGAATTAGTATTTTTTAAAGAGATTGGAAAAAAGTAAAAAAAATAGGGTAAAAATGACTATAAATTTTGTAGTGTCGTAGTGTTGTTAAAAAATTTTTTTATTTTTTAGGATTAGCCCTCTCAGAAATTTCGTGTCTTTTAATAATTCGGTAATTATTTTTATTTCCGACTAACAATTTAGGACTTATAGGCTCCACCGTTTTGATGAATTTTTTTGAGACCTTTACTTCGAGAACTTATCAGGGCCATTTAAAAATTTAAATTTCTATAGTCTAAGACATCGCTAATAAAATTCCGAAACTCTCATTAAATTGTTTGTGTGTGTCTCTTAATTCTCTTTAAAATAATTCCAAAAAGTAATCTATTTTTTCGGGCTCTAGACCGAAACCTCGTCTTAAATATATCGTTCAACTGATTAGAGATATTAAAAGCAGCTAAATGAATCGCAGAAAAAAAAGTACACACTCGCACCTTTGGAATATGCTTGAAAGTGCGCTGCTCATATCCGTGTAAGATATTGTGTTGCTTCTTCAGGTACGATTGAAGGCTATAGGGCTTGCGATCCCCGGTTGTACTGTGTAAAGGGAATACTATCATTTGCGGAAGTATGAAGTGTTCGAATTCCTGAATACAAAGTATTTGCCCGCGCGTCTGTATGGCGGACGGCCGCTTCATACGGACAAATCTTATTGCGTCGTTTGCTCTCACTCGAAGACTGTAAATAAGGTAGCACGCGATCAGGACACCGGTTCTGCCGAGACCTAAAAGCGAAGCGCTCTTTGCATTAACGATTAAACGGAATAGATCTTCTAAAATTACGGTCTATATTGGCACAATGGATCTTATCTAGTTACACTTAACAATGCCATTGGACCATTTTTAGCGGTGTTCAATAATCTTTTCTAGGGAATAAAGAGAAGCGATTTAATTCTAGATTACATGCTTCTAGATCTAAGACGATATTGATGAAATAAAAGCCTGCCGGAAGTGAAAGCATTATTCGCGCTTTAGATTCTGGAAATAGAAAAGATAGGTACGTTAGAAGTATCGATGATAGCAATTAAACATCGCCTTATCAAGCCTGCGTCATTTGCAGCATGTTTTACAGACTGGCGAATGGAGAAGTCAGGAATGTTAATTGCGGTTGCCTAATTTCCAGAGTGGAAGGCGAGAACATACTTAGAGATATCCAATGACGTGTTTGTCAGATGTTATCGCGAACTGCTAGATCAACTAGCTAGTTGACGTAAAAATGTTAAAGTGCGGCACGTCTTCTCTCTGTAATTAAGTCACGTAGCATGCACACAAGACATTTCTGAAGTTGTAGAATTCTAATCAATTCAACCAATCGCGATAACGCCATGCTGGTGCGAATAAATCCTGCAATTTAAGTTTCCTAAGAACGCTCGTTATATTCGCGTTGTATCTATAATCCTTGAAACATAAGTTTGACCTTATTAATTCTGATTTTCAAAACGTGTAAAATAATTGTGTGAACACATTAAAGTCTAATTCAATTATATATCACGAAAGTTTCACGGCTAAATTAAAAATATTTATACATGGTTACGTAATTTATTAAAAAAATATTTATAGCTCAATGCTTTAGCAACAATTAAGATATATTTTAACGCATTTGTTGTCTTTACTCTTCTATGGGTATAAACTAGTTAATAATTTTTGTGGTAAACGTAAAGTCGCTATAGCTTCAAAACAACCGTTACTGAGGAGAACCGATCGATCGCCAAACAGACACTTACCCTACATACCTTTAAACACTACTCTGAATAATAATAGACTTGCTCTAAAGCAAAATTTACCTATCAACTGTGTCCAATAATGTCAATAAAGTTTACAGTCTTCGTATTTTATACTAACATTACCCTGAGAGAAAAATTTAAAAAAATAAATAAATTCGGTAGATACTAATAACATATTTACTTAAATCTAAATTCTTTTATTTAAGTAAAATAAGCAATTGCTTCCATGAAAAACTATATTTTTAAGAAAATATATATTTTTTACTTAAAAAATATTTTAGATCAATATAAGTAGATATGTTATTATATTACTCGTCAAATAAATACTTCTTTTTATTTTATAAAACAAGAGTATAGAATATTTTTAAATATAAAAATAAGTATCCTTCTGGACAGTTCGTCGTATGCATTATTTATACGTAAACAAACATGCGGGTATAAAAATAAATGCCGTTACATTCGAAATCTCTTATCGTTCCAACCGCATTTAATGAAATGAAAATTACCCGGCATGGCGTGTCCGTGACGATAAGTTGTGTTAAATGAAACTAAGAGAACTAGTTTACTGTTGGTAATCACGCTTTTCCCCAATTGAAAAATTATTTACAAAGTTGTACAACAACAAAACTTAAAATTTTTAATAATCTCGAACATTTAAGATTTTTTATATATTATTTATTTATTCTAAAGATATAAATGCCAAAGAAAGTATCTTACTAAATAGGAAGTATCATTCATTGATTGACAATATAGGTAAAAATGGATAAATATAATATTGCAGTATATATGTATATACCCAGACAGCACCAAATTTTCAGAGAATGTTCTGGGACGTTCTTAGCATATATGAATGTCCTTAGAACACTTTTAGAACGTTCTTTAAAGATTTGTACTATATATATGGGTATATATGTTACTAAATTATAAATTAAAATTCATCTCGACCATACAGGTTCTTAATTAAAATTTCTATTTTCTGCTTTTAGTATTTGATGAGAGTTATTCGCGTGCTCGGCGTAAAGATTCGGAAGCACGATGCACACGTGCATTAGCCGACTTTGTACGCACGCAATGCACCGCGGTAATATCGCACACGATAAACACGTATTATGCATTGCTTAGGTCGATACATTTAAAGCATACGGATCATTGACAGCGATGCGTATAAGTCATCTATGTCAACGAAACTTTAGCACACATCAGAATAGAGGTGAGAAATCCGTTTAGAAAGTAAGAAAGAAAAAAGATAATTAATAAAATATTGATTAATACGCGCGAAAATAAAAAAAAAATTACATGTATTAAAGAAGATAATGTCACATACTTTTTATTTATACATGCATACTGATCTGACAGAGTCATGCATTCGAAAAGCCATGGCAGCTGCAGAGGGATGCAATTGGGGTCAAGTGTATCGTGTGAAAAATCGATTTACCGGCATGACAGTGAATGGCCACTCTTCCTTCTTGCACGGCGAAGGCCACGACCTTGACCATATCCAGGAGCTTCCCCATTGTAGCGTCACCATAATCCTTCAGGGCGAAATTATAATAGTAAACTGCAACAAATTCACGTGGTCGGTAAATTGGGGCAGCTTGATGCCGAATGTTGCTGCGGCAACAGAGGTAAGCGGCAACAACGGTTGTTACTCGGAGACTTTTGCTCCTCCGTATAGATATATGTTTTTGCTGCATTGCATGTTACAGCGAAGCTCTTCGATTTAGCTGGTGGTTGTTAGGATTGGGGGAAAGACGGTTCCACACATTCGTTTTAACAAGGACGAACTCTCCTATTCTATCACCATCGTAAATCTTTCTGACGTAAAATTGAGATTTTTTCTTATCATTCTATCAAGATCTTTATCGTCATATGCACTTTGCATATTGCAATATGCAAAATTACGATAAGGATCGATCGATTCTCACCCTTCGAATAACCCTTCGAACATTTGATATAATGGAAATGATAAAAATACATGAACTTCTTTTTTTAAAGAATGATATATTTGTCTATCTATTTCTTTTTTTAAAGATTGATATATTGTGTCTATCTGTTTCTTTTTTTAAAGATCGATATATTGTGTCTATCTGTTTCAAAAAGAAGCATAAGGAATATTGCTGTAAAAAACACACACAGAGTACAAGGATTAAAGAAATTGAGAAATGTTAATTTTCTAAAAAATAACATAAATCATTGTCGTTATATACAACAAAATGTATTTTGTACGCACGTAATTTTACACAAAAAATAGTACTGTTTTGTAACTTAAACACACAAATATACATATTATGGACCACAATATTTATAATGCCATTTCACCCATTCCTATCCTTTCACCCCATTCCTACCCTCAAAATATAATTTTATAAATCAAAATAAAAATATTTAATAAAATAAAAATGTCAAGATCAATCTGAGCAGAAAATGAGCAAGGCGAAAATTAACAGAAGTTAATAAACACTGTATATAAATTCTAATAAGCTTTTAATACCTACTGCCATTTTTCATAAAAATGTTTGGATCATATGTGAAACCGCTCTCTTCGAGTGGCCCCCCACAACTCGCGTGTTCGCCGGGTGTTTGCAGGTTTATTATGGTTTTTAGGCTCCACCCTTGAAATTGGGCAATTATATCCTTCTTTATTATTTGCGCGGTGCTGGGTCGTGCCATCGCAAGGACATCATCGGTCACCCTAAAATATTTAAATACTCGAGTCTTTTAGATCGAGAACTCGGCTTGCATCGATGGATATATAATGCTAATTTGTATCTAACGTTTATGTTAACTATTTACACGGCGCGATGCCACGAGGCACATGTTAATACACACGCCAAATATGCATCTGATCTAAATAAATCTTCTACGTTGTGTAGCAATCGAACGATGCTTCGACAGAATGTCAATAACGAGATAGCTCGGCTATAATGCGTTTCCTTTAACTCAGCATAAACGATCGACTAGATCATAAATACTGCAGAATTGTATTATATTATAATAAGGTAATATATATTCAGAGCAATACATGATTCGGTGAGTAATCGTGAGACATCTTTAGCGATAATTTGGTAATAATAATGCAACTGCGCTAACAATTAACTGGGTGTATGAATGATTGATACTCGCTACAATTCTGAATTGTATTAGTTTTGTGTTTAAAATAAAGCGATTGAAAAACAAACTAACGAAATCTTAAAGTTAACAAGAGATAAAGATATTTGACAATAGAGGTATTCTTGTTAGCAATACTTTATTCTTGTCTATCACTCATGAATAATGCTTTTTCGTTTACGTCGTCTCTTTTTTACGCTCTTATTAAAATTTGACAAATGGTAATAAAAATGCTCACCAATGCGAAAAGATGTTCTGTATTGCCATATGGACAGGTGGCCAAGCCTTTGAATTTTCATACTTGCATCTGGATCCGCCGCAAAATATAGCGCACTGTATGGACTGCGGCGTGAATCTCCGTAAATTTTCCGAAAACTTATTGTATCCCGCTTGTATATCGCACAAATTTGTTTGCCCGCCTTGAAGACCCGCCGGAATTAACGAGCTTATATCCATTCTACAATTAAACGAAATTCTATGCTAATAATAATTATAACCCAGCCAGAAATAATTCGTCAATCGATTTCGAAACGATGTCGAATCGACGTCGATTTCACGATTTCGATGTCGATTCGACATCGTTTCGACATCGATCAACGAATCATTTCTGGCTGGGGATTCATTGTAAAACAAATTTTTCTACGATAAAGAAGAAATTGTAAAGTCTACAACAATATCATAATTTACAGAAATATTGTTACAGTCTTTCCTACTTGTACTACATTATTCATTTTGGTCCTAGCGACCATTGCGGTTTGACATGCTACTCTTCCGGATGCATGTCGCAACGACATAACGTAAAGCTATAACATATTTTCGTATAAAACTAAAAATAATAATGTAGCGAGGCTAATGGAAATTTCACGACGTCTTGAGAAGTAAGATTTTCCGGCTCTGTAAGCTCAATGATACATACATTCACGAAAATGTTCACGTGCTTCTCATCCATCTCATAGCCATGCACAAAAATAGTGATCGTTTTTATTAATCACTCTCGTTCATCGGCTATTAAACCGCACACGGGGGCTCAGTTGCACGCGACGCGGGTTTAACGTACGATCTTCGCGATGTAAAAAAAACAGTTAACGCGCTAAGGTAAGCTCATAGCGACTGGCAGTTCCGCTACCATAACGTTGCTTTATCTGCTATTGAATCGTAAGGGCTGCGCCTGCGCTAGCTATGGTACCTATCACAGGATTTCTGTATGTGCAGTTAGTATATTATATCAAATGCTTATAGAGGTAAAATTTAATATACTAGGTATACCAAAGTGCACGATCTTTCGGCGTAAAATATATATGTGTACGCTTATCACAGCAAATTTTCAATCAATTTTAAGAGAGTAACAAATAGATAATGTTCTTTAACTTACATTATTTGCTTAAGTTAAGAATTTGCTAAATAATAAAGGAAAATTTGTATACAAATATTGCATTAAATTTATTATCTTATTTTTTATTCTATAGAATTATGCAAAATTATATTTTATTGTATAGAACAAATTTTTATAAAAAGAATGAAAAATTGTTTACTTCACTTGTTTAATCTTAATGCAAACACATGATATACGATACTAGTCTTCTTTCTCGATATCTTGATTAAATGATGAAATTCGCAATTTCAATGAAATCTTGTGAATTAACGTGATAACTTTATTATATCTAGCAAAGGACTCAAAAGTAAAACGCACGAAAAATTTCTTTAAGAAAATGTTGCAAGCATTATTTTCAACAAAAATATGACAGCGTACGTGACACACACACATATATATATATATACCAATACATTCATTTGTATTAAATTAAGGTAGTGGATTATTAGACTTTCGGGTATTTTCAGTAGTGCATTAAAAGAGCCACTTATTACTATTTATCAAACAAAAAGAACATACATAAAAAATGTCAATTTTAATTAAAAATATTTCAGCTCTAAAATAGTCAATATTTTCTAATTGCACATACTGCTAATATTTCACTATATATATATGGTACATTCAGTAATCGACCAGTTGATCACGCGATAAACTTTATGATCTGGGAATTTGAGAAAATTCAATAACTATTATAATTAAAAGAAAACTATTTTATGAGCAGAAATAGTTTTGTGAAACTAATTGCGTGAATCAGCTGATCATTTACGAAACATATCTAAGTTAGTTTAAATCTACCAATTAAAGTCAAAGTTTCCAAAATGATTTCAGAACGTATACGTAGTGTAAGTTTCATCAAGTTTTCATGAAATTTGTTTCACGATGTACAACTACTTTAAACATTCGATTCGACGTTGCACCTTTTATGTTTGAAGTTGCGCGCCTCGAGTCCGAGGGGTAAAAACCAATAACGTGGTCGTGCGCAGCACAGTCAAACCGATAGCTACCGGTAGGTGGTGATCATAGTGATGAACGTCGCTCGAGATTAACGACTAATGTAACGGCGTTACCGTGAGTAACGGCGAAACCATGGATCGTCAAGCTTAGACGGATTTAGATAAGATTATTCGAGTACGTTAAAGTCGAAGAAATATTGAACGTCTCGGCCACATATCATCGGCGTAGGAACGAGTACGAGAGATGTCCGGCTTCGACGAGAATCCTTTCGGGGAACCTACGATTAACGATCCATTTTCGGTGAGTAGCAATTTCCTCGTGTGACAGTGACAAACGAAATACACAGCTCCGTGCTTCAATATTGTTCACGTATCTGTCAAAGTTTATTGGGCCATTTTGTCAGTATCTTTACTTGAATTTATCTTATTGACAGCTAATTCTATTCTATTAAACGATTTTGCGCTGATAAACTACGCCTACGAAAGTCGATTAATGATTATTGGATATGTCATTCTGATGTGGGCAAAAATATCCACCTGCATTAACAATCTTCTTTTTCTATCGTCGCATGATAGCTTCTTTGTCATAAAGTCTGGTTGTGTGATTATTTGTTGTATCACTATATCTATATTCTATATTTATGTAATGACATTATATTCTGTACATATATTTTACGTTGCTGTAATAAAATAGTCTTATCATATTATTTGACTTTTATATTTGATTCTATTTTAAACTAATTTTTAAGAATTTATTTTACCTTATGATCTCTAAAAATATATGTGAGTTCTCAGTAATACTTTACCAAGATATATGTTATCTTTTATTCTACAAAATGTATAAAATACCAATAATTTAATATCTAAGAATAAGATAAAGAATACTAAGAAAAGAATAAACTAAAAGAGGAATAATTGAATAAAATAATGTTATAATACATAGTGTAATATATATGTATACATACATGTTGTAATATGTAATATAAGTTTCATCAAGTTTTCATAAAATTTGTTTCATGATGTACAACTACTTTAAACATTCGATTTAACATTGCGCCTTTCATGTTTGAAGTTGCACTATATTAACTATGTAACTATGTATTACAACAATATTATGTTATAATTAGAAAAAACTAAAGGAAGAGGAAAGTAAATGGATGTGTTAATATCTATAATAGGATCCAGCGATACGAAGAGCTGTCAACTCTACTCCAGCCAGTAGAGGTCTTGAAGACTACAATCCTTTTGCTGAACAAGGCACACAAGGAACTACACAAGTCAGAGGAGCATTAAATCCACCTATCTATGGTGGAGTTGGTGCAACACAGCAACCAGCAACACTTCAACCTACTAATCAAGAAGCTCCTCCTCCTGCATATGCACGTAGTCCTCAACAAACAGTCAATACTGCATTGGGAAGCACCGTACCACTTCCATCAGATGTAAATTTATATTAATATTTTAATTTCTCTAAATTTTTCTTTAAAAGACATTTATTGAAGTAGTTAAAGATTAGATAAGAAAGAGAAGAAAAAATTACATATATATATATATACACACACACACACACCAATATTTGACAAAAATACTTAAAAGTAATATTTTGATAAAATTCTGCAGAATATTACACCAATATTTGACAAAAATACTTAAAAGTAATATTTTGATAAAATTCTGCAGAATATTACACCAATATTTGACAAAAATACTTAAAAGTAATATTTTGATAAAATTCTGCAGAAATTTCAATTAGATCATTTCAAGATTTGATTTATTGTTTCTTATCAATTTGCAAAATTTACAAGTTTTTATAGCTTTAAGAAGAAATATTTCAATATATTTTAGCAACGAGCAGAATCAGAATGGAAACCCAGGACAGAAGAAGAAATGAGAAATACTCCTTATTATCGTTAGTATATTATCTACACAATTAACACGTTAAGCGCGGAGCCGATTTTGCTGTGCTTTACGTTCAAGCGGCGTGCCAACGCGGCGGCGACCATCAGCGGATATTGGGTTACAGGGTCTAAACAGATTATACAACAGTATAAAATACATTAAAGAAGTGTCCACATATCTTCATACTACATTAACATTTATTTTTAAGTTTGATACCGTTGACCCATAGAGACCAACGTTGCTTAAACTAAAAGTTCACTGTCGGTCTCTAGGAACTGACGCCGCGCTTAACATGTTAAAATATGTTAAATATAATGTCTCTTTAGATATCAGATATTTACTAAAACTTTTGGCACCGTAGCAAGAAGAAATAATTGGCCACCTTTACCAGATAAGTGTTGTTTCCAACCATGTTTCTATCAAGATATTGATGTTGAAATACACACTGATTTCCAAAAGATAGTGAGACAATTATATTACCTTTGGATGTGTAAGTTTTATTGTAAATAATTATATTTATCCAAAATCGATTATACATTTAGGAATGTTGCTTACAGTTCACGGTTGTATCCTGCTATTAAACGTGATCGGAGGATTTGTCTTAATGCTTTGTGGCCAAGGTTTCTCGGCATTTGGACTGGCTATCTTATATCTTATACTCTTTACACCGTTTTCCTTTATGTGTTGGTTTAGACCAGCATATAGAGCTTTTAAGTATGCCTATAATACCTCTCAACATTACAGATGTTAAGCAAAGTATGAAAATAAATAATTTGTTTTTAGGAATGACAGCTCGTTTAACTTCATGGTGTTTTTCTTTGTCTTCTTCTTTCAATTGGTTGTTACTTCTATCCAAGCTATAGGTATTCCGGGTGCAGGAACTTGGTAATTTGTCTTTTTTACTGTCTTGTGTACGGCACATGCGAGTACTTATATGCTAACATAAATTTCATTCTTTATTTTTAGTGGTGTAATAACTGCAATTGAGCAATTCGATTCGACGGCCAAAGGTATCTTCGTCGGTCTTCTTATACTTTTCATCGCTATTTGTTTCATTCTGGCTGCAGGCGGTGATCTCTTACTGCTCACTAAGGTATAGTGAATATTCCGAATAGTAAAAAAGAATGAAAATTGATTGACTTTGAGAAAGCAAATATGAAATTGTTTATTTTCCAGATTCATCGCATCTATCGTACTTCAGATGCAAGCGTTACGAAGGCACAACAAGAGTTTGCAACAACATTTTTGCGAAATGAACATGTGCAGAACGCGGCGAGCAATGTTGCAGCAACTGCAGTTCGCACGCAGATGGCTAATGCAACCCAACCGCGTTATTAAAAAATTCTACTACTTATTTGTACACTACGTTCTGGCTTTATATCATTCAGTAACTGAATAGATCTCATTAGTTCTGCTGTATATGGATAAAAAGAAAGAAAAGATTATAGAAATGCAATATATCGCAAAACTTATTCTTACAATGAGACGCTGCAATATATGAAAATTGTGCTTCACGTTCAAATTTAATCTCTGATGTACATTGTCTTAACAGTGTTAACTGTACAGCCAGTACTGGCGAAATATTGAAGTATTAACAAATATTCTGAACTCCTTCTAATCTAATGTACTTGTTTCTGGAAGTGATAATAATATTCTATGTTTCAAAAGAAACTATATACATATATATATATATATATATGTGACACGTGTAACATTTTGCATGAGTTCGATATATTCGTTCTTTATCATTTATTATGCGCGTTGAAATCATAAAATTAGGTTATTACACATGTGAGTGAGTTATATATTAATTATGATTATATTAATAATCATGTCTATAATTTTATTACATAATTGCTTACATTTACTAGCTTTTATATTTTAGTGGCACAGTCTCATGACAATGTGATCATGTATAAGCTAGAAGTATACACTAAAGTAATTAACTTTACTTCAAGTAAAAGAACAATTGCAAAGTTAGGCTTATGACATAATTAGGTTCGTATTTGTTAAATATTATAAATGTTAATTTACTTATGAATATTCACAAACAGCCTTTTTGTAAACCTTGTGAAAAATCCTGTACATTCCTTTTTACATGATATGGTGGACTATCTTTTATCATGGCTGTTATTTTGTATTAGAGAGAAGAGAAGTCTCTGTTTTTATATTAAAATATAAATTCTGTGAAATAATGTTGACACACACAGAGATATATTTTGATTGAGTATTTTATGAATTTGTACGAATAATGATTATTTTTATAATCTAATATGAACACACTATGGAATTATTCGTGATTATTGTAAGAAATTTATATAATTTTCTCAATTTAAAAACATAAAACATGCGATTGTTATTTGTTGAAACTGAAATATAGTAACGTTTATTTGTATTTCTCAAGATATCTTAATGATAATAAATTTAAATACAACTGAGAAGATCTTAAAAATAATTGTTACAGATAAAATTTATGTGTAAATATATATATATAGAATATAATTAATTACTCTATAAAATAAAATTACGCAATCATATGCATTTTTACAAGAGTTATCAAACTTAACGAACACTATAGAAATGATTTGTTAAACAATAAATTATTCTTAATCTCATTTTACTGCGATATATTTGCAAAATAATTGTAAACCCTATATTTATATGTACGGTTCTAATTCTTGTAAATTAAACTTTTTAAGCAAATCTTTTGCTGTAAAAGAATATTAAAACATTAGTATCGTGTAAAGTTTTCTTGAATATTTTATACATTTATACACATACGTGCACACACATAGAATTTCATGTATCATTTGGCATACACGTACCTTTGGAATGATAAGTTGCAATAGGATCTATCGGAAATGGACAACCAATATCGGCGTTGTTAATTAGAGTAGTTCCAATCAACTCTGCCGCTGTTACAGCGTCAACAATTTCCACTTTAGTACGATACATAAGTTTTGCGTGACCTTCCGCTAATCTGGAATTATTATTATTATCACTATATTAGTGATATCAATTTCACCAAAATTGATTTAAGATACGTCATACGTACAAAATGGAATATTATCATATTGTGATGACTAATCGTGACTAATCGATGACTAATAATGTTATACCTGATAAGACTATCTAAAAGCCGCACTGTTGTTCTCTCAGGCCTTCTGTACGGATCTGATCTGTGGTAAAGATAAGTTGCGCTGAGTATCTTTTTTGCTTCTTCAGTTAACGTTGGTTTTAATGCACGCACATGTGCGAAATATTCGCAAAGACTTTCTTCTCTCCATAAGCCTGTCAAGTTTGAAGGGCCCATATATATTTCAGAATAGCTGTAATAATTGTTCGTTTTAACCAATGCTGTGTGCAAACAAAATATGTCGTAGGAAGTAGACTATATATTATTACGAATTATTTTCTTCATCTTCACAAGCAGCTCTTAAGATATGAGCCGACGTCATTTCGTCCCATTCAGGATTTCTATTGTCTCGTAAGAGGAGAATTAGATCAAAGCGCGACAAAAGGGGATTTCCCAAGCAAGTTTTCCATTCATCACCCGTAAAACATCCACCGTCTGGATTAATAGCTGCAATAACTGAACAACGGCTGTTCAACGTGCTCACCATGCCTGCTTTGGCTATGGAGATAGTTTGTTGTTCCATCGCCTCGTGTACAGAAGTTCTATCGTGAGAGTTCATTGTCGTGAACTCATCCACACAACATACACCTCCATCTGCAAGCACTAAAGCACCAGCTTCTAGATGCCAGCCATCCGTGTCCTGTAATACATCTCTGAGTAGATCGCTTAAACAACGATAGTACAACTTAAAAAGACGAATAAGAACAAAGTATTTAATGTTATTAACTTTGACAGCAGCTGCTGTGAGTCCAGCGGCGGTGGTGCCGATGCCGGTTGTAAAGACGGATCTTGTAATTAATCTCGATGCAGTACGAAGCAATTGCGATTTTCCAGTACCTGGATCTCCAATCAATAGAAGATGTGGCTCGCCTCTTACGCGCATTTCTGTTTCGTTAGTTTTGGCGACGCCACCGCACAATACAACTGCCAAAGCTAATTTCGCGATATACATTCCATACATCTATAGATCATTCGAGAAAAGCGCAGAATGTTACATTGATTTGAATATACAAAACGTATTTGTTGTTACATAATACTACTTCATAACATATTTGAGAATGTAAAAACTTGTATATACTTGGGGGCAGATAGAGGCGAGAATATTGTCTCTGCCAATTAACGCATTATCTCGATAATTTTCCCAATACGCTGTAAAGGTATCCTTTATTTCTGCAGTTGAGAAGGTTGCTTCTGAGATCTTTCTGCGTACGGAAATACTATTTGCCATTAGGAACGTTGTGGCTTCCGCACGTTGGCCAGGTTTCAATGTACCCCATTTTCGTATAATTACTCCGCTACAAATGTTTTATATAAATACAGCTGGTAGCTAGTCAAAATAATAAACGTTATACAATATTAAAAAATAATCTTAACATTATAGCAACCTAATGTCTATGTTATCCCCAGGTCTACATTTATCAAGGAGATCATCCAACAGAACTACTTGTAGACCAGCTGCATAGCAGCTTCTTGTATCTACCTTACATTTGTCCTGTATATAAAAAAATTACTTATATTGCATAATATTGCTAAAAAGGGAACAAAAGTATATGATAGTTATATACAAAGCTTCCTGAGATACCTGGATTTTTATTTCTTGGTAATCAGAACAATCATCCTGCTCTAAAGATTTTGAAGCTGTTATACTTGGAGACTGACATGCTGCACAGCTTTTGATATCCCTAAACAGTTGTCTTTCCCACTCTAACTACAACATTGAAGCCAATGCTTGAATATGTATTTACTCTTAAAATTAAAATTATTATTATTTTATGTTAAGCTTTAATTTTATTGTGTTTAGATATTTACATACTTTGACTACAGTAACATGTTTGCATTTTTTACAGATGAAACGTTTTTTTAACTGCATAACTGTTGGTTGAGACATGCGTACAACAATACCAGATGTTGAAACTAGTTCACCAATTTGACCTGTATCGATGTGTATTGGTACAGCAATAATTCTGACATGAACCTGTGTATTACAATATTATAGTCAAATAAGACTGTCATTAAAGTTTATACTGATTGACTACCAATTTCTGTTAACTTAGAAATTACATCTACTCGAATCTAAGATATACTTGAATAAATTATCAAAGTTTATCTCAATTAAGAATATATATAATAAAAGTTTACATTTAAATATCAGTTTTTATAATTAGCACATTTGATATATATTAATGAGATGGTAGAAGAGAATAAACAATTTTAATTTTGTCAAATGTAACAGACAATTTGTAAGCAAGAATATAATATATAAGCAAGACTAATACAATAAAAATTTATACCCTGGTCTTTACTATTTGGTCTATCTTGCATAGTTGTTCTTGAGCTTTTACTGCTGCCTCATCACATAGTGGTAGAAAATGTCTAGGATTACGCAAAATTTTCTGTGCATTCTCTGCATCAACTTCAAATAAGGATACAAAACTAAAAGATGCACAGAAACATGAAGAATATTATTATGTGGGGCTATAATCTATTTACTTTTATTCATAAACTTACGTTTCACTATATTTGAGCAAACTTAAATAAAAAATACATATTATATGTCAATACAGAATTAAAAAATCAACTTACTTTACATGTATTGAGTAGAACATGTGATCATCTGTAGCATTCAACATTTCTTCTAATTCTTTTATGTGATATTTTAATAAATAGTCTTGAAGCATCTTGATAACTTTATTTTTCTAATAGAATCAGATGAGCTCTTCAAAATTTCAGCGTGAATAACATATGATTATGTTCCCGCCACAACCATGCTCTTGTATACGGTGCGTTCGGGGATCACGCTACCAACGCTACCACGTTATTCTATCTTTATCGCTTCTTAGATATACAACAAGGATAGAAGCAGAGAGAAGCCTCAGGCCGACGTCCCATGGAGCGGAAATTCTCTGCGGAACGGAACACGCGAAACCAGTACGACCAATCACAGCCGTTCCGTTCTTTTTTGTGCCGTTTCGCTATAATCTTACCATTGCAATTTTGCGGAAAGGATAAAGATAGTCGCGGATAACAATATATCTTACGTATCTTATTTGCTTCTTATACATTTATTATATATTTTTTTTTTCGACATTCTTTATTATTTCGTTTAGAAATGATGAGTAGAGGGATCGTAAGTAATAAGATGTTAATATTTTGAATTGTAGTAAACAATTATGTATAATATGTTAATATGTTTATATGTTTATATGTTTCACAGTCGACAAAAATCACATAATATATTCTCCATAATTAATCACAACAGATCTCACTTTATTATACTACATAATGTATCATCGCAATTCCGCTGATGTACTTTTCCTTCTGTCCCATGAAGCGGTAAACGCGGCAGCGGAATTATGTTTTAGCCAATCGTAAAATAGTTGCATATTTTCCTAAAAAGTATTTTACTCAAAAATAAATTTTACTCTTTACTAATTTATCATATATTATATCATTTGTATAAAATATTATTAAAATTATTAAAAACATGAGAAATAACATTAAAAAGTCTACTTTTTGTATTATTCCACGTGATCCGCTTCCGCGTATTTCGCTCCATGGGACATAAAATAGAAAAAGCGCCGGAAGAAAAGCGGAACGGATGTGATAGGTCGTGCTAACTCCGCACGTTCTGTTTCACTGAAAATATCCGCTCCGTGGGATGGCGCTCTCAGTGTGCAATTCATGCAGCGGAATAACGGAGCGCGGAACGAGAGCGGAACCAATCATGAGCGAAAGCAATCACGAGCGAAAACTATGGAACGCTCGTGATTGGTTCCACTCTCGTCTATACCACTATTCTGTGGCTGACGTCATTAATCAGGTTGGTTGCAATGGAAAAACAAGAACTTTGATATGAAATAGAACTATATATGCCGCTCTAGATATTTCTAGATACGGGAAAGCATGACGCCATTTCTCGATTCTCTAACAGGGCTATGCCCTTTTAAACTATGCATTTTTTACCGATAATTATAAAATATTTTCGTAATAAAAAGCATTTCGTTCATTGATACAGGAATGTGTTTATATATCTCATCGTATTTTTACATTACTTTTATTATTTTCATATCCGTATAGCTTAGCTTTAATAAGTTTAAATTAAAATAAAACTGTGCGTGTTGATAAATTGTAACTTAAAATAATCGTATACTAATAAGCAAAGTCATTTTATATATATATATATATATATATATATATATATATATATATATATATATATATATATATATATATATATATGAAATGTAATTACATATTTTT